GAAATCAGGCAGCAAGCTGTCTATATTGCCAATCTAAGATACCCTAGCCCCTCTAGCAAATCTACAATTTCCAGACTGGGATGTTCCCCCATTGCTGACAAGATAACTCAACCCAATTGAGTGGTTCTCCGAATTTAGAAACAGTTACCGCTTTTTAACTTTTTGCCATTAGTTTTCCCACTTGCAACATGAATTACGAATTTTCCACTTTCCAAAGGTCCCCCTTGAGATGACTATTTAGTAGGATTACCCTAGTTTATATAGGGGCCCTAGTATGCATATATATATATATACAAATAATATATAAATCTAAATATTATATATGTATAGGCTATATGTCATCCCCACATCAACCCGAGGTTCGTACTGGATCTGGGGGGATTACCATGCACCAATGGCACCAATGGATGATCTCCAGCCGCACTGAGGTTTTAACCAACGGAGAACAAGCTCTGCGCAAATGGGGATTTCTGACAGCTTTGATCGGTTTGATCAGATAACTAATCTTAAAGCTTAGGTGGCTTGAGTTGCATCATCTACTTAGTGTCGTAGTATCTACTTTCCCTGAAACAAAAGGACAATTAATGGTTTGAAAGTCTTGCTCCAGGTCCTTTTTGCTTTGATAAAATCTGTTGGTTTCACAAAACATTTGCTGGAAACAATCGGTTTCACGTAGTTTTTCATAGTTTATATGCCCTTCCAATGCTGGGAAATAAAGTTAAATAAACCAACACAACAGCTACAAAAAAGTCGCGCCGCGCCGCAACCCACCTTCGGATTGCATCGCAACTTGGAACTGCACCCCGCACGTGGAGTACCGTGATTTTCACGCCGTGCGGCAATCCAGGACCACCCCGGGTGGCAACACTACCCGGAGAAGATAGGAGTTTCACAGTCATCATGAGTTTCAGAGTCACCAAAAAAAAGGAAAATGAAGTTGTATCACCAAGTATCACCATATACCTATCGTGTAACCATGATTTTTTGGCTCTGGTTTTCACATACCCGGCCTGGTAAACGTTGACAGTTCGCTATTGAAGCCATGGCCCAGTCGAAATAGCTGGGGTCCCTAGGGTCCCGTCCGTGGCAGTCCAAGCCATGGTTTTTACTGCAGCGCCAAGGTGGAGCTAAAAACGTGCAGCGAAAGATGAGAATGACACCCCCACCAGAAATAGGATCAATAGCGATTTATCTAGGGAGAATAGACAATTTGATGGGATAGAATGGGATAGATACCGAAAATACTACGATTTATGTCTTTGGTAATGGGTGAAACCCCACCCTTAAAATCGCAGTTCAAATGCAGCAAATGATTGTCGACCATCCGATCTGGGGCATCTCATGTTTTAAATTCGCAGTTGTAGGAGGAACCTGGGACAGCATTAGAATAGGATTCGGGAAAAGTGATTGTAGGTCTCAACCCATTCAATATGATTTTCCCATTTAATTGTCCAATTAATATTTATAGAGGATTTCCCCTTGCCATGTTTGATGACGCCGGAGGGTATATCCCATTATTACCACATTATATCACAATTATATCCCCATATTGTATTCCCATTATTATCCCAATTAAATCCATTGTACTCCTAATATTCGTTTCCCCTACCACCAGCTGGCTGCAGCTCAGTTAATGCCGGCCTTTCTCAGGGCTTCATTCCAAAGCCTTGAGCGGCGTTTTGAAGAACGCCACCGTTAAACTGATTTTAATGGGGTCATTGTGGTGTATAATTCGTCATTGATTAAATAAATAAAAAAATAAACAAAATAAATAAATAAATAAATAAGTAAATAAATAATCAAATAAATAAATCAAAAATCACATGTATATATATACATATATATAATTTATTTAGTTATATATTTATTTATCAGTATTACTGTTTAATACCATTATTATTACTACTATTATCATAGGTATTGTTATTATGGGCATATTGACCCGGAATATGGTTGGATCAATTGTTACCCCAAAACGGACACATTGGCAACTGTGGGGATGATTCACGTTACCATCATTTGCAGGGGCATTGTAGTGTCGGCCGGTGAGGTCGCTACTGAGATATTCGCAATCAAATGGCTCTCTGAAAATAGTAGTGCGCCAAACAAGAATTCCATGCATTGTTTATGTTCCCCATCAAAATAACAATAATTGGAGTATCTGTATCCCACTTTTGCGTGGAAACCCAAATCCCAAAGCAAGAATAACCGTGAAGATTTCTGAGGGTCCAAGTGCACGTGATGGACTTGATAAACACGGCTAGCGATAAATACGGTATCATATACACTAACCCAGTCCCGAACGGAAAATTGCCCCCACTAGGGAGTGAGTAAGTATCTGGAATGCAAATCTAGCGGAGTTTAATTGTTTCTAAAACAAACTTAGGGGTTACCTATAGATATACATATTATATACATATTAAATACAGGCATATATACCATATCTACCATAAACATTCCATAAACTCAATATTTGTTGCAAACCAACTTAGCTCTAGTTTCAAGGGACCACCTTGCCGGCGAAGTTCCGTCTTTTCGTAACAAGGCACTGGTACGTTGAACTGGCATAGGACATGGCATAAACATAGTCCTGCTTCAGCAATCATCTCACTCGTGGCCAATATGGTCAATCCACCCATGCTTTTAAACATGTTAAGCTGGGCTTTTACTACCCTCTGGTAATTTAACATAGCTATTGAAAATGGTCATTTATAGTGGACATTCCCATTAAAAACGGTGATTTTCCATAGTTACGTTAGTTTACCAGAGGGTATTTTCAGTGCACATATGCAAAAAAACTGCAATTTTGAGTGTTTGTTTGCACATCCGCACTGGATTGATGAGAAATCCATGGAGCAACTGACCCTGGGGAACACCAGGAGCCCGGTGAGCCCAGGCCTTGAAGGCGATCATTCGTCTGTTTGATCTCCAGTCTTTGCAAGCTAACTCCTTCCTATGTATAAATATATATATATATATATGTTGGTCGGATCAAAATAAGTCCCATTGGTTGGCTTCACCCCCGAAAAAATCAACTGTTCGTTGCAACATTTACTGGCCCAAAGAAATGGCAGTTTCATCTCAGTCATGTTTCATGGATAAGTATGGATATGTATGGATAAATGATGGTAACAAGTTCAAATAAGATCAAATAAGTTTTTCATTTTTTTAAATAGAGCAACAGATTCCATTATATCTCTCAAATTTCCTTATGCTTTAATCCACATTCCATTCATGAGTTCCCCAGTTCAAATAGCAACAAACGAAGCCTCCCCGCCCCTCCTGCGGCTTCTCGGCCGTGTCAAATGGACGGATCTCTGGCCGCAAACGACCTCAACTGCGGGTTGTTAAATCCCCAAGTGGAAGTTTCCAAAGTCATGAGGGTACCCCCAAATCAGGGGTACCCCCAAATCAGATACATTTGTTTTGTAACAAAATTAAACCGTTTTAGATCATTTTAGTATTGAAAGCCATGGTGACTTGGGGATCCCCCGTGATTTAAGAACCCCCCAAATGGGATTGAGGAATAGAAAACATGGAGATAGAAAACCACCAAACTTATCGGGATCTTTAAAGGGAATTTATCGGATTTTATGGGGAAAATACGGTAAAACCACCATGATTGAAAACATGATACAACCACAAATGGCAGTTGAATAAAAGGGGGAAATGATGATTAACCACTAGATTTAGGGATACCCTATGTTCAAACAAACCTCGACATCAGGGGCTCGAAAGTTTCACCATTTGCACGGAAACCTGGGTGTGTTAGCATCAAATGTAGGGGGTTCCTGCAGAAACATTTTTTTTAACGTATCAATTGAAGGGTTTAGAGAACTGAATCCAAAAACGCCTGTCGCAACTAGCAATTTAAGCGTGTACCCCATTTGTAATCTAGGATCATTCCACCTTTCTTCTTGGAACGCCTGTGATTGTATATCTCATGATTAAGGGTGGTATCAGTGATACATGTTTTTTGTGCATTTGTGTTTGCATTTGTATGGTGCTTGTTGTTTGTGTACGTATTGCAACTGTAAGCAAACGAACCACCCTGAGGGTCATGACATACTGAATACGACTAGGGATCGGGAGGTATGTTTAGTGGAACATGTCACATAGATCCACATCAGAATACGTTATGACTTGGGCAAAAATCATTCTAACCTACCCACCATATACGAAATCTTCCTGGGCGGGTCGCATCTCTTCGTCCTGACATGTCCTGACCATAGATTGGGCCTGAAAAATGTGTGGGCACTACCGGTCCCACCACGCCGTGTCTGAAGCTGGAAAAATGCACCAATGTGGGTAAAACCAGTAAACCAATCATAAACCAGGCATTTGGGAATGGTTTCATAATTTATACCACCTATATACCACCTATGGTGAGTTGGGGAATGGTTTATGACATTGTTTTACCCACATATCCATGTTATATTTCCTGATCCCCAACGTAAAGCAGTGGATTTGTTGCCGCCTTCATCTTCTTCAGCATGCAGTCGCACGACAGCACCCCGGTTGCGGCAAGAATCACCTGATGACTGTCCAAATGTCGTGAAGGAGATATCGTTTTGTCAATCTGAAGGGACAAATTAAAGCAAACTTGTTTTTTAACTTTCCCAGATTTTTGTTTACTGATTTTACTGATTAATTGAGGGAAACCAAGTTGTGTTTTTCTTCATTTTCCCACGTGAATCTGGAACCTGTCCCTGCACATTTCCCAAGCACTTCTGGGCCCATACGGGCCGGTTGGAATTCAGCTTGGTACCGCTTTGGGTTCCAATGGTTGGGCCACCCGAAAAACGATCAAAGAGTTACAGGAATCTAGGGAAATCCAAACATTTATGAACCTATGAAAGGAAATTAAATGTTCCTTCTTGGAAAAACATGCAGGTACCATCCACTGAAACATATTTTTTTAGTTCTTTGTTCACCATCTCACCTAGCCGGAAAAATGTCACATCGCTGGAAGATTGTCCCTAACACCATCTGCTAAACTAACATAGCTATGAAGAATCACCATTGCTAATCGGGAAATTAACTATAAATGGGCCGTGTTCTATAGCAAACCGTTAAATTGCACCCTGTTAAACTGACATAACTACATGGGCCGGGGAATCACCATGTTTATAGTTAAATGAACTGTATACAAATGGGCAATTTTCAATTTATATCTATTAGATTATCTAAGGGTAAGTGGTTTCCATTAAGTGCCATGTATTCTTCCAGTTACCACCTTTCAGGGAGGCAAAATTTGACCGCAGCCAAGCTGCAATAGCCGGGCGCCGAAAAAACGGTGAGGCACTTCTTGTTGTGCATCCACTCATAGCCTTCATCCTGGCCGTCAAGAAGATACTCCCTATAACTATGGGATAATTATGGTAGAATAAGAGAGTTAATGGATGTTAATGGCCCTAATTATATCTAATTATTGTAGAATAAAAAATCATTAATTCTAGCAATTTCTTGCCCATATTCCAGGGCCGAACATATTCCATGCCAAAATAGCTGGGAAATTTCAGGGAATTGCGAAGACCCCTTTCAGGTGAAATGTGTACTGTATTTCATACAGTTTGCCAAGTACTCCTTTTCTTCTGGCACGTACGTTGTCGACAGCACATGTTCTTCCCCAAAGAAGATCCTTACTTTCAACAATTTCTGGAAATGTCATAATTAACAATGTTGAGCTGTCCAAAAATGGATTAATAATGTTCTTATTGGAATTTGTCATCTACACTTTTCAGGATCTCAAAACCCAATTCATAAGCTTTAAGCTTATGTTCTGGCACGCTTGGCTGGCCTTTCATCAGCAGCTAGAGCTGACATCTTTCTTGACATCTTTGTGGCCCCGCAAAGAGCTCTGCACAACAGGATCTGGGAACACAAATCATCGACGATCCTGTTTTCTTCCGTGCAAAATAATTCCACCGATAGAGTACAATGCCACCCCTGGAGTGCGCTAATTTTCTGGAATGCGAAAATAAAACAGTATGCGTGGCCCCCTTCGACCTTCCCCATGGATCCAACACCAGTTTTTTCCATCATATACCAGAAAATTATCACATGTCACCCTGCTGAGCTTTTTTTTTTTTAATTTTTGGTCATTTTTGGCCAAAATGGCCTGGAATGCGATAGTATGTGAAACTACAGACGTCTCACGCGAAACCGCTACCTTGCCCATACTCCAGAAAACGTGATTCCAGGCGATTTTAGCCAAAAAAAAACAGAAAAAAAGAGAAAATCGCCGAGTACGAAGATTTTATGGAGTGCGAAGATCTTGCAGAGTGTACGAATATGTGGAATGTACGTGGATTTTACAGTATGTGTACGTCCCTATAGCTGTGGAGTGCGATGCCCTCGCTGGAGTGCGAAGAATTTGTGGAATGCGAAGAATTCCGAGTATGCGTGGCTGGTATAGAGACCACATAGGGAAATTTCGGGGCCAGAACCAAAATTCCAATCCCAAAGCCAGCCCAAACTTCCAGGGGCACACCAGTGGGTTCTATTTTTCCGAGTTCACCTTGGGTGAGGTCCCGGGGAAGAAACTTGCTAATTTTTACTCAGCCAACCTTTAAAAACGTTACCTTTGACAACCCTGTCCTTCTTCGGTAGACAAATGAGGAAACTTCCTTATCAAAGCAGCCTTCAATTCATTCAACGTCCACAGCTGCTTTGGAACGACATAGGGGATAGAAAGCTGTGGAGGGGCATTCAGTGGATTCGCCGTGGGCCAACTGTTCCCTCCAGATTGAGCTGAAATGCCTATCAAAGTAACATACCAAAACCCAGGTCTGGAGTAAGATGAAAACATGGTATGCGAAGATTTTCTGAATATGGGAATGTTGCCTCTAGATTAATGGATGTTAATCGGCTTGGGATTGCCAATATTGCTATGTTTTATTTTGATCAAAACATGGTAACGATCATAGCATCAAACTCAACATGGGGGTGCGTCATTTGATGGCCAACAAAAATCACACCATGCCCCGAAAAAAATAGTGCACCCTTGAGTGAACGAATGAACATCGGCATGTTCAAGAGGAAAAATCAACAGGGGGATTTCAACCTATAGAATTTATTTTTGAAACATTGCCCACTGCAGTGATCCCCGATTTGGGGGAAGCATGCTGGAGAAAAAAACACATTTGTTGCTTAGGTCAAGCATTGCTCATGCGAATTATCTCTATATGCAGTGGTTCATCCTTAATTCCCCATATACCGACATTTACTTACAATTGGAAAAGAAAATGCACTGCCTATCGCCGACTAGAAATTTGAAACAAAACCAATCAGTTGCATCCAATTGCCATGTTCAGAACGGGAAATCAGCACAATATCAGCACGTTCCAAAGTGAGTTGTTGAGCTTCCTTGGTGTGTTTTCGTTGGTATAGTGAAGTGCGAAAGCATGTATACCCATTGCCGTGATGCCGGGATCTTAGGGAACCGGGCACGACGTAACTATCTCGGACACCGTCCTTGACTTCATGCGAGCGAATCATGAAGCTCAGATCATTCCTGGGATCAGATATGTTCTTTATCTTGATCTTTATGGAAAGTGCATGGGACTTAGAAGCTTCTGTATTGGTCCCCTTCCCATATACCTGCTTTGGATTACTTCATGAAATCAAATTCTAACGTGGGCAAGCCAACAAACAATAAACCTACCACGTGGGGATGGTATACACTACCCATTTAAGGTGATTTTGGGGATGGTTTATCATTGGGTTTATCATTGGGTTTACCATTTTGGGGATAGTTTATCAAATCATATCCTTTCTAGTATGTAAACCTGATATGTTTTCATGTGATATGTTTTCATGTTAAGGCAATCATGTGTCTTAGGTATCTTGAAACACTGTGATCACATCCTTAAATCTTGTCTGGTTGGTGGTTTCAACCCCTCTGAAAAATATGAAAGTCAAATGGGAGCATTATTCCCAATATATGGAAAGTCATAAAATTCCATGGTTCCAGTCACCACCAATCAGATCATCATCATATTCCCATGGTTGTTGGTTTATAGCCTATTAACCACTATTAATCACTATTAACCATTTTCCAATTACCAGAAATAGTATATACAGTATATCTCTATGATTCTCTATGATTTTGATCCAAACATCCAATCAGATTGTGTATATATATATATATTGGAGCAAGCCTGGGAGTATAAACACTCCCCAGAAACGATATGAAAATCGTGGTTTCGGCCCTGGCCAAGCAGGCGGCCGAACCCCCGGCAAACTAGGCGGCAACGTGCCGGTCAAGTTAGCAAAAATGCGAGGCAAAAAAGAGCAGCAAACGAGTAGAAATGTTGCCTCAAAAGGCACAACCGGGCACCACCATAAATTATTTATCATTATTTGCTTCCAAGTTGGAATGCGCGGGGATTACTTCAAGACACCAGGTGCATACCGGGTTTTCATTATCGCTCTTAGCGCCTGCCAAGCTGACGGTTAAAGGTCTCCAGCGTCCAGCGCCGCGCATTGGACTGGACAAGTTGGTTGCGTGGACCTTGATTTCAGAGCAAAGCTGCTCAAGCAGCCGCCGCCCCTCAGGCAAGCAGTGCTGAGCTGACAATTCAGCTGAAAACTGTTTTGGAAAAAGAATTCCGCCAGGTTTCCGCCGGGTTCCGCCGGGTTCCGCCGGGTTCCGCCGGGTTCCGCTGGGTTCTGCCGCTCCGCCGGGTGCCGCTAGGATCCGCTGGGTTCCAGGCTTTCGCCAGTTCAGTTCCGCCGGGTTGTGCCGGGTTTCGCCGGGTTTCCGCCAACAAGGTTCCTGCTCCCGACTCACCCTTCAATCTATTGCTAGGGTTGTGCCAGGTTCTTGCCAGGCGTTTGCCAAGGCTGCGGCAATCAAAGTCAAAGAAGCGGTTTTTGCAAATGCCCGGACATTGTGCAAGTCAGCTCATGGAAAAAAACACCAATAAGATTGCTTCCCTGGTGGAGTAGCAGATCTTTTTTTGCTGGGACCCCATGCAGAGGGGGATGCAATAGAGATTTTCATTGTTCAGCTTTTCCACATTGAAACGTACCAACATGTACCAACTTTCATCTTTTGCATTGAACACATTTGCCGTTGAAAATGTCCGTGTATTTGGCTTGGCCAGATCTAGTTCGCGCGCTTTGCCGGGCCTCTTGCCGGCACATTTGCCCCTAATTTTGCTTGTCCATCACTGCTTCGGATGCTCTGTCATACGACTTGCCGGCACAAATGCCATGGCTTTTCGTTCCCACAGAGTTAACCACAGGCCGCTAAGTTTGCCGGCCACAAAACCCAAGAAATCGGGTTTCTTGAGTTGCGCCGGCCCTTCTGCCGGAGGTTTTACCATCCCTTTAGCCACAGTTTTGGGTCAGTTTGGCCCAAAAAGTATTTATGAGTGTTTATACTACCTGGATACTTTCAATATATATATATATACATATTTATGGATGATTAGCTATTAAAGATGGTGATTTTCCATAGCTATGTTGGTATATCAGTTGTGCATTGCTTGTTGGTTGCGCCACGGCACTTGGCCAGGAACTCTTCCGTGATGTCGGCACCAAACTGCCGCGCGCTACCGCCGCGCTCACCTTGCGTTTTCTAAATATGGAAAACCATGGGTGGCTTAGGTAGAGCTGAGTTGGCTGTGAGATTTCTATGGAATTTGGGGATTAAAAAATAGGGTTTATATGGGATTTCGAATTGACATGGGAGAGAGAGAGAGAGAGGTTAAGTACCCCTAAATCCCCAATCCAAACAAACAATGATGTGGATATTGTAGATCTATAACCTATAAAATATTATATCATGATAGTGGTTGAAGAGACTTTAAATGGTTTTGGTCGATTGTTTGATGGACTGTGTCTAAACATGTGGGGATTGACCGAACAGTTTTGGCCACATCAATGAGAACACTAAGATTTCAAACGATGGAAGTTTGGTGTAATGTGTTCAAACAAATCCACATGCAGTGGTAAGGCTTCAAGGCACAACGCGTTTCATTATGCTTGAATATGTGAATGCTTCGCTACAATACATGTTTTTCATGGTTTTTCCGTAGCATATGTTGGATGTAACAAACGCGTGAAACCATGAATACTTGGTTTCACACTTTCGGATTTAAAAAAACCAGCACCCTGACGTTTTGCTGTCCCCCTGGGTAAGGTCCATTGTAAGAAACTCTATCGAAGCAACCTGAGCGTTGCCGCAACCCGGTAACCCCCACAGCATACATGACTCAAGATGCTAAACGTATTCAACCAGATTCGAAAAAAGCGTGGTTCACAATGTTTACATTGGAATCGCATTTTTCCGGATGACACTGGCAAAGTCTCTGCCGCCACTGGTTTTCATGGGCGCGCAATTTGGCGCGCATCCACATGTTTTGCTTCATAATTCCAGATACCGGTTCCCAGCTCGCTATGTTTGTTCACCAAGGGGCATTGCCAGATTATCACCCCTCATTCCAAAAAAGAACATATTGTGTCGACATTGTGCCCATGTCAAAACATGTCAAAACATACGTTTGTTGCTACAAAATTCTCCGGTTCTGTTGGTAAAAGCCACAGGAATCTTACGGCAAGGAACTCCCCCGGATGCCGGCACCCTCAAAGGGATCTGACCACCTCAGTCGTTCAAATTTTGTCATGCCTAGTGGCAACTCATAAAACGCTTGTGGCTGACAATGGTGTTTAAGTGCGGGTTTTGACAGGTAACAGCAATAACCAACAAGCAAAAAAAATGAGTAGAAAACTCAGAAGATGGGGCTGCAAGAATTATGATCATGATGACCCATGTATGTGGCTACGCAGAGTAATATACACATGCAATTGTACATGTATGCAGTATATATGTATGCATATGGGTATCTAACCAAAAATAAAAATATATATATATATACAAAAAATATCTACATATTCAAAATCATTTGAGCGCATATAAAATTCATTAAAATTCCAACAATGTGTAAGCGAGCCATAATTACATACACTTTTCACGGCAAGGTTTTCATGTTTTCACAATGGGAATACAATACAATCATGATGCATTAACAATAAAATAAATGGATGTAAATGGTCCAGAATTCTGAGGAACCTATCTGATTCAAATCTAAGGCTTGACGACTTTACGCGGCCAAGGGACATGAGATCATTGTAGATGATATCCTCTTCCCTTGGATGCAGCGGAACGCTGAAAACTCCCGAATCCAAGTGCCAATTGGGCAAATCTGGATAAATCCCCATGGCATGGCCCATGGTTGTTTATACCCCCATCCGTAGATACAGCCTGCATAAACCATAGTTATTGCAGTTACAAACCTAATCTGGATAAACTACAACTCATCAACCTGAAATAATGGCAATTTTGGGATGGTTACCCTACTCTAACCATGCCATCATTCCACGTCGCAGTGAAGTCGGTCAGGGTATCTCAGGGTACTCACTGGGTACACAGCAGCCCCATTTAGCATCTGGAAACATTACGTTCCCCCAAACATGGTGTATGTGTGTTTACGGTGTAAATGCAAAGCCGCCTATCACTAAATTCATAGGCCGCTGCGGGAGCCATCTGGAAGCTTTGGGGAAAATATTGTACAATATGCACATACGCACACAGTATACTGTGCATAATGATTCTCCATCGCCATACATAATCATGATATGCGGTTATGTCATGTTATTTCATTACCCTCGAGCTCTGGTAAACTAACATAACTATTGAAAATTGTCATTTATAGTTGATTTACCAATTAAAAAAAATACTTTGCTTCGAGTGATCCCCACCATGACATTTCAAAATATGCCAGAAGATATTCCAGAAGATATGCCAGATAGAATGCCAGAAGGTATGCCAGATAGAATGCCAGAAGATATGCCAGATATAATGCCAGAAGATCTGCCACATAGAATGCCAGAAGATATGCCAGATAGAATGTCAGATAGAATGCCAGAAGATATGCCAGATATAATGCCAGAAGATATGTCAGAATATATGCCAGAAGATATGCCAGATAGAATGCCAGAAGATATGCCAGATAGAATGCCAGAAGGTTTGCCAGATAGAATGCCAGAAGATATGCCAGAAGATATGCCAGATATAATGCCAAATAGAATGTCAGAAGATATGTCAGAAGATATGTCGGGGAACACTTGGCATGGATACTCGCGGTTGAGGTCCGGCAGGGAACACTGGGCGTGGATGGCCGTGGTTGAGGTCCGGCAGGGACCACTGGGCGTGGATGGCCGTGGTTGAGGTCCGGCAGGGAACACTGGGCGTGGATGGTCGTGGTTGAGGTCCGGCAGCGAACACTGTGGATCGCGAGTCGCAGTTGAGCAGGAGGACGAGGAGGACAACGAGACGAGGAGGACAACGAGAGGAGGAGGACAACGAGAGGAGGAGGACGACGAGAGGAGGAGGAGAGGAGGAGGAGGAGGAGCAGGCAACTTAGATAAAATCTAACAACCCTCACCTGGCAGGTGGGGAATAATTTTTAATATATATATATATAATATTATATAATTATGTTAAATTACCAGAGGGTACATGATCATTACTATTGTTTCTTTGTGGCAACTCGGCATGTTTCGGCGGTTGAATCTGTGTAGTGGCGTAACCGCCACGAACATCTGAGACGGTTGTAACCGTTTGGAGCGGGTCACTGGAGGCGCGTCATGGTGCTCAGTTTCCACTAGGGCAATGAAGCCGATTTCATGAAGCTCGACTGCACATGCTTTATTTATGGCATGTTGTATTTTCATGTATTTTCCCATTTGCAATTCATTTATACAATTTAGATTTTTTGATCCGTGAGAATGGCTATTCATCCTGGGATGAGAAAAAAAACCTCACTGCCGTGGCAAGATGGTCTCGTTGTTCTCGTCGGCTTGTCATCCACGGCGTGGCCGGTGAAGGGATGAAAATGACGTACTTAATGAGTAATCCCATGAGCCTAATATTAAACATCCCACAAATGGTCCCAATTATGTGGAATTTTCATGAATTTCCCTCTAAAGGGGCTGTTTAATATTTTTTCTATGGGGGAAGGGATTACTGAACGACTTCTGACCCCTCGGCAGCCCAACTGCAGCAACCGCAACCAAGAATCTGTGGTTCTCTCGGCTGTCGTGGATCGTCTTGGCTGACCTGCCGCGTTTTTTCGACAAAGCTTTCGTCCAAGCATGGCCAGGATGGATGAAACTGTGCACAGATTTCTTCAGCTGGTGAGTAACATCAATATGTATTTAGTTTAAGATTATAATATATATATATAAATATGTGCGCATATTCATGTCTAGCGCGCGCACACAACTTCACAAACACACACTCACACACACCAAAGAAAAAACAAGTAACTACTACTACTAAAGTACCCATCCAAGTTTGACCCAGGGTTCCTTGGTCCCAGAATCGCGTTGTGTTATGGGAAACATGAAAACTAAACCAACTAAGCTGGTGGACCTGGAGTTAGGTAATTTTTCCAGCGGAAGGCCTTAGAACCAGAAAACGTTGAGAGTCGTTAGGGTTACAACAATCCATGGATTGGCTTAAGGCAAAATCTGAACCGGAAAACCCATCGATTTTCCTGGTGCAGCAGTATCTGGGTAAATTAAAAAAATCACTCACCTGAATTAAGATAAATTACGGCAATTTGGAGATGATTCCCAGAATCCTAACCATGATTCCAGGCTTCGGGAGAACAGGGTTCGGTCGTGATCAAATTTACCCAGATGTATGTTGCTTTCATTTTCCTCTGGGGATGAGTGGTCTGAAAGGCTCCCCGTGGCTCGTAAGGCTAGCTCCTTGGCTTAGCTCCCTCCATTCACTACAGGTCTAACTTCCCAGAATATCCCAGAATGGCCTAGAGTCGGGGCCACCCAGCTATGTTTCTTCGTTTATAACCACATCTGTAAATGGACATCCCGTATAAATTTCATAAACCTCACTTCTCGCAGTGAACTGAGCCAACTTAGATAACTCAATCCCAGTAAATCTACATGTTTTTGCTGTTGAAATGCCTACAAAAACATACAAAACCATCAGAAACCAAGGGCCATCGTGCCTTGATTCGGTCCACGGCAGCGATTGTGTCCAGGCTGAGGTTCTTGGATATCCTGGCTGAGGTTCCAGTGATTTTTTTGGAGGGCAACTGTGTTTTGGAGGGCAACAGCGACTGGGTCAAAAATGTGGTCAAATGATGGTTAAATGATGGTTAAAGGCAGTGATTTACCCTCCGATTATTTAACATAGCTATGGAAAATGGCCCATTTACAGATGATTTTCCCAACTATAAACCTCCATGTATAATGAATTTCCCATAGCTATGTTAAATAACCAGATGGTACCCCTTAAAAGATATAGCAAAAATTAAGGTTACTGTGAATGTTCCCTTCATTGATTAAGGCATATCATCTGCCAAGCCACCTGAAGTTTTTTCCGCACCGAAGATGGCAGGTTCCAGCAGCAAAACGATCAGTCAAATGGCCATGTTTGTGGCATCCATGTTTGATGTTGGCATGATCGACCTAACATCCAACCCCTGAAATGGGTGAAGGTTGACATACTTTGACAATGCTCCAGCAATATCCGGTGTTTAAAAAGAAATGGAAGGGTGCAATTCCATTTGAAGTACTGTAGATCATGAAATGAAACTCTGCCTGATTAGTTGGGGAGTTCTGCGCGAAAAACCGGCATCTGCTATCAAAATGGTAACCCACAAAGCGTTAACCCAAGGCTGCTGGCTGGCAACCATTCACCTAAGTTTACCCACAGTCCCACTGTCCCAGTTTTACACTTTCAGTTTCAGAGTCTCATCAAATATCCTCGGATTACGTCAACCAGGTTCGAAGTCTTGTCAATGACACGGCACGTCTGTCACATCGAACACCCACGAAAACGAAAAAAAGAACACAGCTTTTCCCAAAGTGGCAGTGCGAGATGCTCAGGAGGCAAGTTGGAGGTCAAATATCACATGGACCGCGGAGGTGGCAAGAAGCTCTCTCCCAGCATCACTTGTCGCACGCAAAATACATAGTCACTGCGGCAATTTTTGACTGGGCAAAACCTCGTTTATCAAGCATCTGACCGACGGTTCGCCCATCATGTGTCAGTTGCATCATCATTTTGCAAGGTTATCACTTACCAGACTTACCCTCTGGTAAACAAACATAGCTATTGAAAATTGCCATTTGTAGTGGATTTACCCATTAAAAATTGAGATTTTCCATAGTTATGTAAACGTTTACCAGAGGGTATCACCGTGCCAGGTTGGTTCAGATTGTTTACTGAATTTAAAAGGTACTTGGTGTGGGATCTACAAGAACAAGCCATGGGTATCTACTTAAGGATCTACTTGGTGTGATAAAACGAGCTAAGCCCTCTCGTACATGTGGTTATCTATTGGCGATGGTTTTTGCCATTGTGGATCCTACAGTTATAATGTTATAGTTATATATACTTATCACATAATATCCACATTCAAATTTTGACCAGGATATTTGTCCCAGATGCTCCATGGTGCTGGAATTATTACCTACATTTACTCCAAAAATGGCCCAGTTTTGTAGGTAAATCTTCCAGCACCATGGAGCATCTGGGTATTGGGTAATAATGTTGGATGGACAATAGTAAAGCGCGTGCAATAGCTACAAATAATTTTCAGAATCTGATTTTTCAGCCCCTATTGATTTTAAATTAGGCCTTATTGATTTTAAATTACAAACATCAACCTTGGTCCAGAGCATCTGCAATAAATGTGGTTCATTCGCAATAGCTACAAATAATTTTCAGAAAATTCCCAAATTATCAGATTTTCCAATACTAAATTGTAAAGGAACTAATTGAGATTTAGTATGGATGCAGGAAAAAAATCAGAACCAGTTACAGTTCAGCTGTATTTTTTCCCTTCTTCCTTTGTGGTTTTAATTGTGGTTGCATGGTTTTAAATTGTGATTGCATGTTTTTCAAAAGCAAAAACAAAGCAAACCTTTACCAAATCAAAAACTTTACCTTGTTCAAAAAAGCTGTTTTCTTTATTAAAATCCTTTTAAAAAATTGCAAAAAACGGGTCCACAAAGGGTACCCCCTTGCAGGTCCTTGCATTTGCAATTAAAAACTGGAATTAGCACTTGCAATAAGAAACAACCTTCCTGGCTCTAGCAGGCATTGTTTCCCTTCTTCCTTAGTTTTTTAAATTGTGGTCGAATGGTTTTAAATTGTGATTGCATGTTTTTCAAAAGCAAAAACAAAGCAAACCTTTACCAAATCAAAAACTTTACCTTGTTCAAAAAAGTTGTTTTCTTTATTAAAATCCTTTTAAAAAATTGCAAAAAACAGGTCCACAAAGGGTACCCCCTTGCAGGTCCTTGCATTTGCAATTAACAACTGGAATTAGCACTTGCAATAAGAAACAACCTTCCTGGCTCTAGCACGCATTTTTTTTCCCTTCTTCCTATCAGAATCCAATGAAGATCCCATCAGAGCCCATGAGAAAAGAGAGGATTTGTCAAAACCTTACAGAAACCTTTGGGGAAGAGTTGGGATTTTCGATTTACTATTGCGAAGCAGACCCCCCCCCCTAAAAAAAAAAAAAGGGGGGGGGACCCCCCTTTACTATTGTCGATGTAACATTACACCTTCAACGGAGATAAAAATTGGCTTCCCGATTTACTCACAAAAATTTGGTCACTGGGATTGGAACCATTTGCCAGTCACTTTTTTCTAAAGTCAGTTTCCCGCCCGTTTTTTTCATGCCCTGTTTTTTCAGAACATCACGAGCAGAAAACCCCCATTGCTGAAGGGCAATTCGCTGGGAAAGCTGTAAATCGAACCGTTTGAATTACTAAACAAATAGGAACATTGTCCTTAAATTACCCAACCCAGAAAAGACAGCTGGATGGACAATACCACCAATTCTCGCAAAATATGAAACTCTTGACTTGGTTGAAGGTAAAGATTGCAAGGAAAGTTGTTGTTGTTGGTTAAAAACAAGGAATCACACCACTAAATTACTAAACTATCAAATCATCATTTAAAGTAGTCAAGTACTATATAAATTACAGTATATATAATATATCATCAATCCACAGTTGACCCGGAGTTGTCATGGACCCCTCCATGACCCACCCTACGTCCGGACCTAGGTAGACCCCCATGGGTCACGAAAACGTCGTGGTTCACCACATGCGCTAGGGGCAAACACCTCGCCAGGGGTGTATAACAGGGGCCATGAATGAACCTTGCTACACTGGCGATACTGAACATGATACAACCAATGAAACTAGGCATATAATCATATATATATGTATATATTACACAATAGAATAATGCTATAGCCCGATATATATATATATATATATTTATATATATAACTTATATTAAAACCATAATTAAATAACCCATCACAAAAAAAAAGGTAAACTATATTTGTGCCCAGACAAAGTCAGGAACCATGGGGGACAATATGTAGGCTGTGCTCAGAAAAAGATGAATCAACCATGAGTTCTTTGTCATCGACGTACGGTAAAGTGAGGATCCTTTCAAGGTACATAATCTACATATATGATCTTCGCCCAACCCATTTGGTAAAGCATAAACATGTCATAACATTTCCTTTTAACGTAATGTGTTAGCATCCCTCTGCTGACACTAGCCACTTGTCTGCCTGCGTGAGCAAGATTTTCCGAGCTCATACCACATACTCAGTTTAAGCGTGGTTCGCGACATATGCGCATAGATGTGCATAAATAGACAAACAAGACTATAATCTGTATACATGCATGCGTATGGTATGCATAGATCTGCTCATGTACATACATATAATGCATCTCATTTCTGCATGTGTATAATATGTTAATTATCATTTTTGCTAAATGTTGTGTTATAATATGATACTTATCGTGTTATATGCACATGATTCAGAGCTCAAAGCAGACTTCAAGATGCACCAGTCTGGGGATCACACTGGGGACTGCTGCCCAAGTGGCATGAAAACCCGCTGGAAAGCCACAAAGATTTTCAGTTCCACGTCGTACCTGGTGTCCGGTGTCCCGCTTTTTTGCATGTTATGAAAGTCATCTGTCATGGAAATCCTACCCCTCTTTGGATATGATATAAAAAAGAAATCCCCAGCTCGTGAAATCAGGAAGGATGTAATGCTGTACCCTCCAATATGCTAACATAGCTATGGAACATGGCACTAATTCATATAGATGAACTCACAATTGCCTATGCAAAATTGTTGGATTTTCCATGGCAAACTGATTCTGTGATCAAGTCTAACCATCCAGGCTTTGGGTCAGGCATGGTTGCTGGTGGTTTTAGATTCACCCTTAAGACAACACAAAAAAAAATTGGAGTCACCTAACTCTCACTGGGTGGCTATCCCATTCTATCATTATATCCCCATTTTTCTTGATGTTATACCATGTTGTGCCCCCAATTTTGTTGGTGAAATAATGTTAAATCATCAAGACCTTGAACTTCTTGGGGTTAGCAGGTCATGCCGATGATGGATCTGCACATTTTGAGAGCTGCCACGAAAAAAACGGCGCACTTGGCCAAGACTTCGCCAGTAAAGCCATAGTTATGGTTCCTGAGGGGGACTTCTGCGGGTCATGGCTGCAATTAGGTAAGCGAACCTGGAGAAAAAGGCCCACGTTGACTAGCGGATTTTGAAATCTCCGATGATTGGCATGGGATCATATATGGGATAATTACTATATTATATATATCATTAGTTAATTAATCAATTAATCAATTAGTTAATTAATTGTAATTATACCATACCATTACATACCATTACTATTATAATTCCTCTAATATATATAAATATATACATACCATTGAAGATCCATGGGATAATTACTATACTATACGGCAATCACCATGGATCTTCCACCAAAAAGCAGCGTCCTTCAGACCCACCTGTTTGCATCCAAGCATCATGATTTCGTCCTGGCAGCCGCTGCGAAACGATGGGAAAACGTGAACTGGGCTCTCGAGTCTTGTCGTCCCGCAGGAAAGAAGAAACACTCACCGATCATCATCCCATGACTATACCCGGACAATACTACACCATGTTCATATCCATTATACGATTTTTATACGATAATACAAATGGAGGTTTGCTAAAATAGAAGTACTCCAAATCATCAGACCATTTTGATATTGAAACCATCAGTTTTGGGGGTACCCCCATTTTCGGAAACCTCCATGTGATATGAATTATACCGTTGTAGTTATACCCATTATATCATTATATCATGATTTGGGGAAAGCTCCGAGATGGCCCATAGACCAGCACAACCGCACCTCATGATTTCCCCGAGAAAGGAAGAAGTGCTTCGGCAGTGCCAGCCTGGAGGGGACTGGATCAGGCAGCATTGCGGCAGCAGTGCGGGGTGTTTCATAAGACACTTTACATTGGCATTTGCATGGGACAATACTCCATAGAATCTACATCTATTTTCTGTTCATTTTTTCTGCATTGCCATGATTGATATATGATTGATATATGATTGATATATGATTGATATATCATTGATTAATTACCCAAGTATCCACAAAACAATTGGGGTCAAGTAAGTCAGCCAACATTTAAATTCAACCAACATGATGTGGCTTACGACCTCTGCTGATGGCGGATGAAAAATCGCTATTGTTGGTCACCCTCCAAAGTGAGTTTATGCTGCACCCAAAACCGCCATTCAACAGCCAGTCAACTAGAACTTTCACAAGCAATCTGGGCAAAAGACTAAAACCGACTTTTTGACACTATAGTAGTTCACAAACCGCAGGAACTTTGTTGATCATCCCATTTACCCTCTGATAAACTAACATCACTATGGAAAATCACCATTTTTAATGGGTAAATCAACTCTAAATGGCCGTGTTCAATGGCAAACTGTTAGTTTACCAGAGGGTAATGGGGCCTCTAATGGTGCATTGAACAGTTCAACGCAAACGGACGACTCGCAGACGCGTTTCTGTGCCGTCATCCCTCGTGGCCCCAGAGTTT